GGTGGTTGCATGTGCCCAACTGCCTTTGGCCTGTGTTTGGCCCAGTACCCGTATCCAGCCCAGGGCCTGCTTCACATACATTCACACAGACGGCCCAGGGCCTGGGTTCATTCAACCAACTGGCGCTGCGCAACTGCCTGAATTTCCCTGAGTTGGGTGGTGGCCAGAATAGGGCCCTGAGGGCCTCGTTGAGCCTGCCTTCACTTAGGGCGGCCGACGGGCTGCACAATGGGGCCTTATGGGGCTCATAGAGGCAGTGGCCTTGAATATGGTTTCTTACAAACAGTTCCAATGGGCGCTTTATTATTATCTTTCTTATCCTTCAAGTCCGCAACTCCCACCCCCAGACCTCCGCTCCTCCCTGGCCGCCACATGGCCACCGAAGTTGCGACCGTTGCGGTCATGACCGCGGGGTCACGGCCATGACCGTGTGCCGTGGTCCTGACAGCGACGACTGGCAGTACAGGGGATTCGTAGTCATACTGTGATTCTAGACAGAGTACAAACAAAATTTCTCATCCTTTTTCCAGAAATTTTCTCAGAACACACTATTCTGTGCACCCTGACAACAGGGTCATCTCAGTCTTGACAGGTCTGAACGCCCAGATCTGTATCCAGGAAACTCAAGGTGTGTTGGATGTACAGCCCTGTGACAGCATTTTTTATCATGCACCAGAAGATTCCATACAATATAACTTGATAAGATCCAACTGGGTTACAAGACCTACCTCTGGGGTTCCAGCTGAGATGCCAATCAGCACCAACCATTTCTGTGCTGGGTCACATCTGTAATTGATGATCTGAGTTTGACCCCCGACCATCTTAGAGGTCCTATCGAAACATCGCACTGGCTCCGAGTTTCCTGTTTGAGAAAAAGGTGCAGAAAGACATCAAAGCACTTGTTGTTATTAAGTAATTAATTATGACTTAAATTCACTTATCTTATTGGCAACCCATCCATCTTCGTTACAGAGACATTCAAGGACCCCCATACCGTGCTCTGTGCTGCACACACACATCCCACATTACTAACCATATTTTTTTAACTCTCTATTGTTTACTGCAGAGGTCGCATGCACGCGTCTTCATATCATGCTTTCCATTGTTCACACGCAACAGGGACTAGAAGACCTGTTGCAGCTTTGCTCGCAAAAACAGATAAGACAGGTGATGCATTAATGGTAGAGGCAACCGACCAATGCAAACTCTCTCTCTCTCTCTCTCTCTCTCTCTCTCTCTCTCTCTCTCTCTCTCTCTCTCTCTC